TTCTAATCGGGAAAATCCGTTATCTTGTGCTTCTTTTCCTGGTTAAAATGTTTATCCCTGTTGGATCAAAGTGTGCAAAAGAAAAAATAGATGAATTACTATAACTTTAGCAAGTACAGTGAAAGTAAAGCGAAAAAGCTTTAGCAGCGAAATACTAGCAGTCACAAGAAGAAGAGTTTTTTAATCGAAATCGCAATGTTGAAGATGCTAGTGCGATAGATTTGTAGCCATTAATTTTTGCTAGATACTTTTGAATATTCGCAAATATAGGTTAAAAGCGATCTACGAAGACTTAAATATTTGCACACTATCGTTACAGCAATTTTGTAATCAAAACATGTGACGCTAACGGTTGATGTATCATGTTGCTTTTTATCTATTATCGATACATACTTTGGTATAACAATCGTTCTGTCAAAACCGAATGGTGTAACGGGGTTTCACGTACCCTGGTAACAGGGTGTGTGTGTCACACGAGATGGGCATGGTGTGACTGCACCCAAACAAGAATTCGATATGTGACTAGGTAGCCACTAGATATGCATGTATTTAGATTTTTCTATATATATTTAGGAAAATCTAAACATTAAAAATTAGGTGGCTTTGCCGCAGATAAAAATAAATAAAAATCTTTTTTGAATTTTAAACGGAAGAGTAGTTAGCATTAGGTTAAGGCAATATTTACTCTTGGAGTAAGCGGATTGCGATCTGCTAACTCGTACTTATTCTAAGTATAAAACGAAAGGTCGGTGACCTAAATTACGTTTCCTCTAAGCGCAACGCTACGGCAGCCCCGCTGCAAATGGTCTATTTCTACTGAAAGGTGCTATGTCGTGAATATAAACGTAAATGATAATTTTTTCCGCCCGACAAGCAGTCAGCATTTGACAGTTTGCGTTGCTTTAGATGTCAGAATTCTCCTTGGCTGAACAAATTTCGAGGGTGATCAGTCTTTGTTGGCAGATATATTGCATCTGAGGAAACATAATGGTGTAGCTACGTATAAAGTATGTAGATTTTGCATTTTGTTTTGTGAATGAGTGATGGTCACTGCACCGCTGTTTTTTTAAATGGGCAGGTTCTGTACATGCTCTTAAGCTGTAGTTTTACGATGACCTTATTGATACCAACCGTCTAGCTTAGCTGATAGTTGCTGTATTATCTTATTACACGGCTATACCGACTCGGCCCTGACTAAGATATTACCCTGCTTTATTCCGTTGAGGTATTTCGCTTTACTTTTTATTGATTTTTCTCGTAAGAAGACTTTTTGCAGTGGTACTTTCGTGTACCTGCGCTCTTCATGCTCTGACAGACATTGCATGTCTTCACGAATCGTGCTACCTACTTGTACATGTTTAGCCACCAAAATTTGGCACTGAGAGACTGGTAGGTCTTCTCACGTCGAAAGTGACTAGCCATCGGCGTAATATGCTCCTCGTACACTATGTTGTGCTTCAAATCATCGTTATGAAGGACCACAATCCGTAGCTCGTCGTCATGTGCAAGTTCATAGTGAAAAAAACATCACTTCATGCATAATAACGCAGCCTTGATTTCAAGCTACGACGAAGCTTGTCATGGTATTTCATATCATTCGATGACAGTGCTCTGATGATCAAATCCCACTTATCATCCTCAACATACGTTCGACGTATCATATCGAATATTTCGTTTTCGATATAGCTGATATGAGCCAGCTCATAATCAGGACGACTTGACAATTCGTCTGCCATCATGTTAAGTTTCCCTTGCTTGTACGCGACCTTAGAGGTAGCACAGGTTAGCGAACTTAGGACCTGTATATGTTCACTTTGGTTTTTACCTTCTATTCAACAGGTAAAAAGCTGCAACAAAGCCTACTTCAAATCTTCCTTCTCGCCATGGTCAACAAGGGAACCATTTCTTTAGCAGCTTCTCGATCACTTTTGCCCTTCTCACTTTACACAATCGACGAAGGTTATTCGTACTCCACCGACAGAGTACTCAGAAGTATCACCGTCTGGTGTGACTCATGTAACGGCTCCCCGTAGTCCAAAGTCCTACTACTAGCTCGTCAAAAGAGTCACGATGTTCTGCCATTCTTGTACCACTTTCCATGTTGAAATTGTGGAGTTGACGCGCCATCGTCACACGATTGTGAAGCATCGAGCGATTGTAGAAATCACGGTGGGTCCCCTGGCCTCTATAACACGCGTCGCCGACTGAAACTTGGTCTGGCGTTGAATCCTGACACCCCGGGCGATGATTCTAAGTGTCGGGGTATCGTTCACAAACCAGGTCTCCGTGATAGCGTTCATATCCTCGACGGATATTTTGTGCCCCAGGAGACCCTTTCTTGCCAGGGTCATCGTCATATTAAACTCCATATTAAACTCCCAGTGGTAATAGTTACCGTTTCCAAGGAGGACTTTAGTCAATCTACACCTGAGTCGTTTCAACTGATCCTCTGTGAGAACGGAGCAGTTCTCCTTTTTGCCCCAGGATGCAGGATGGGCTTAAAAAGCGGATGTTTCTGCTTGTCCCCGACGGTGTGTAACACCTCGCTTCACAAGGAACTGAAGCGGTCAGCCGGCATAAAGGCGTTCCTACAGAAATGATCTGCTAGAGCACCGACAGCAGAAGATGTCGGCGTCGACTGCGTTTATGACGCCACCGTCGGCGAAGGATAAACCTCCCGACACAAGCCACTAATGGTGAGTGTTAAGACCTTCGAAGGCAAGGATGGAGGAAATCTCCTGCTCTAAGTCAGTGAGATCTAGATGGCCATCGCGTCCGCCATGCTTCACATCAAGCAACAGCGCCACATGGCGCTAGCTATCTCCAAGCTCGGTAATGGACACTGATGTGCGGCAATTCGGTCGAAACGGCGTTTTCCACCTGAACGGAGCTGAAGCTGCAGCATTTACGAGTGTTACCGCCGCATAACCAGGAATATCGCGAACGATCGCATTTTTTCGTTGCCCGACAGGGAAAGAAGGCATTGGTAGACTTTGTCCAAGGGTTGCGTACTCTCATTAACGGTATGGCAGCCAATCCTCTCCCCGAGGTCATCATAGTGACCGTCTTTATGGAGGGCCTTCGGACTGGCGTGGCCAGAATGGAAGTCTTCCGTGTGCACCCGGCTTCTCTTGAAGAAGCGGTAAATGTGGTATTGAATGTGTAATCAACATTGAGTCGGCACGACTTGTTTGAAAAGCACTCCTAGGAGCTCGTCGAACGGACCTGAGCCGATGCAATTCAGCTATGGTGAGGATGAGGAGGCAGAGCTCCAAGCTGCCGTTCAGCGCTCGAACACCCGACGGTGTTTTGTCTGTGAAGACAACCGTCACCTTCAAATTAGTTATCCCCTGCGCAAGGCGCGTCAAAGTTCGTCGAACCGACGTTCCACTCCAAACCAGTCTGGTTTGTCGCGGGGAAACGAGAAAACCCAGCAGGCGCGGGGGTCCCTACTGGGAGTGAACGGAGTTCTGTTGATCCTCAAAGAGGTAGAGAGTAGCAGGGCCCAGCCCCGAAGAGCCGCGTGCTCTTGAACACGGAACGTGAATGCAAGCCGGGCTTGCTGGTCGTAAAAGCAACCGTGAAGGGCTCCGAAAAGCCGTGGCAGATACTCCGAGGCGTCAGGCAATTATGCTCGACGCTTCACGATCGAAGGAAGTCAGCTGTATGCTGAGGCGCTGAAATTGCGGTTAAGTGACGCCGTCACTGTTCGCCTAGCGTCGGGAACTTGTGTCACTATGCTGAGGGTTCCTGTGGGCCTCGGTGTCTAGTCTCAGCCTCGGATGCAAGGTATGACCTTATCCTTGGTATGGCATGGTTGAAACACCATGAGCCATGGATTGATTGGAGTCGAAGATTTTGGGCGGTTCGCGCACGTCTCCTGGTGGAGCTTCGGTGAGTCATGAAACCAACTCTGTTAGGGTGCAGAAGTGCTATTGGCGCGGGCACTGGACCAGACGGCCAATGTGCTGGATATTGGAGTAATCGAGTTGTCGAACACCAAAGTTGGTTTAGACTGGAGCCCGAGCGTGGCTCTCGGGTTGTACGTGGAGTGGCACGTAACCCACTGAGCACTGTTCACGTTTCTAAGCAGTCGCTGCATGCAGCAAATGGCATGGTCGGACGAGGTCCGAGGCATCATGGGCAAGGCCCCAGTGATGTATGTGGAGTGGCACATAATCCACTGAGACCTGCTCACGTTTTGACGCAGTCGCTGTATGCCGACAGGCGCATGGTCGGACGAGGTCCGAGGCCTCGTGGGCAAGGCTCTTCAGATGCGCGTATAGTGGAACGATGTCACTTGACGAAGACTACGAAGCTAGCAGCTTTTCGTCGGATGTTGTTAATAATATCATGGCTCCAGTGGATCATGAATTGGGGCTGACAACGGATGACGCTGAGTGCGTGTTTGTGTTGCCGGGACGTATAACCTCTGTGAAAAGGCGACATCGACGCCGTATGCTAGCTACAAGATGCCGGGCATCGACCCTGACCCAGGGTTTGTATACCGTAGACGATACGGCACAGATATACACCCTCGTCAATGGTATGAAGGGGGAGGAAGACGGCGACGTAACCCTCGAGGCTATTTATGCGGTGGGTGCGCTTCTTAAGCTGGACGAGATGTTCTTCGAAAAGTTCGGTGGCGCCCTGAATGCAGGCTACTTAGTAGAGGTGGTTATTATAAGACCAAACGAGAAGATTGAATCGTCGCTGGTGCTGAATGAAGATGTCCTGGAGGATACCCAAGACACGCTTACAAAATGCTTAATGCTGCCACCATTTCGGCACATGCCGATTTCAAAAAACAATTTTTCCAGAACATCATAGTTGGATGTACAAAGAACAGTGCACTCGCCTTGGCCTTTGGGTAACTCCAATTGCTCATGAGAGCGAGTAATATTCAGCTGACAGAGGCGAGTACTCTGAGTCTCATGCTCTGGTGGTGGCTGTTGACGCTCTAAGAGCTGTCAAATGCATCAGGAACACTTAATCGTCTTGTGACGCAGATGTTCAGGCCCCATCGGGCGTATTCACAGACATACATTGACGACATCTTCGTCCACAGTCGTGCGGATCGCGGGAGGACGGATGAAGAGAACGACATCGTCTATTTAAGAGCGGTGCTTGTGTGCATGCGGACAAATGATCTGTATGTTATTGCAGACAAGTGCATCTTCGGCGCCAACGAATTCCCACATTTTAGGGTGCTTCATCGAAAAAAGTGGCCTTCAAGCGGATCCCGCTAAGGTCAAGGCTATTATAGACTGGCCGGCTCCAATAAACGAAAAGGACTTGCGCAAGTGACTTGGCCTCACCAGCTACTCGCACACGTACAGCGAAAACTAAACAGAAATGCTACGGCCACTGTCGAATCCTCAAGAAGAATGCGGAATCCTGTTGGGACATCGAGCACTGGGAAACTTTTGACAGGTTGATAGCCAGCCTCCTTCGTGAACCAATTCTGGCGCAGCCAGACCCTGATCGTCTGCTGCAAGCAGACGCCGAGGGCGAGATCGGGTGACCGCATTCAAATCTTACCGGCTTAAGGCTGCGTAGAGAAATAACCCAGTTTACGACAAGGAATTACTTGCGATGAAGTATGCACTTGTCAAGTTTGGAATGCACCTGCTCGACTTGACTCCGTTTGTGACCAACACAGATTATTCGTCATTTCGAACTGAGACTCAGTCGCCTCACCTCTCGCAGAGGATGACCAGGTGGCTCTAAAAGCCAGGAAAGCACAATGCTTTGACTGATGCGTTGTCACGCGAACTGGATTATAAGCTTCCTCATGTCAAGACGGTGATGTTGTCCATAACGGATTTGATCTGCGCCGTGTACGCGGGCGATGATATGTGCGTAGCGCTGCTACGAACCCTTGGGACCAAGGAGATTGGAAACTCGGACACGAAGTTATCTTCGCGACTGTGTGCACAATAACACCGATATTTATTGAATAACGGATTGCTGTATTATAGCTCCGGCTCGACGGATACGCCGCGAATTGTGGTTTCTTTCGATTAGAGTTCGAAATACCGTATCCTCTATGAGGCCCAGGACATCACACTCAATGGTCATCTCGGTCGTGAGAAGACGTACAGCTCGTTGAGTTACCACTATTGGCGGCCTCAGCTGTAAAATTGCTCGAGTACATTTATGCGCACATGTGAAACGTGTAAAAGGGTGAAACCCTCTCCGTATTCGGCAGCACCGCTGGCCAGTTTGCCGGTATCCTCCTGGTGTTGGCAGCACATAAGTTTGGACTTTGTGTCTGGCCTGCCGAAGGAATAGACAGGCAACACTAGTGTTGTGGTCTTCGTCGACCGTTTGAGCAAGATCGCTTATCTTGCGGCGGTGCCCGACACCAACAATGGTGTCGGTACTTCGACGCTTTTTTCGGATCGTGTCTTCCGACAACATGGGCTTCCGGGGTCTATTGTCGATGACAGAGACCCACGCTTCACTGAAAAATTTTGACGATCTTCAAGGTGCTTGGCACCAGGCTGAATATATCAACAGCGGACCATCCTCAGACCGATGGTCAGACTGAACGCGTTATATGGCGTCGTCGAGGATTCCTTCGCAGCGACTACGCTGAAACTCCGAGGTGTGCTGGAGCGCCATGCTGTCACTCGTTGAGTTTGATCCGCGCAATGCAGTGCATTCGTCTACCGGCTACACGCCGTTCTTAGTGAACGGGCTCGTTCACCCTTACGTCTCGCTGACGCCGCCATCCCATGGTGCAGGGCTTGGTGGGGAGGATTAGCCGAGCGGCTAGCCGATGTTTGCTCTCTTACTGTGCGTAACGCAGGCAATGACTTCCTGTCTACCGTACTGAGTACGTTCGCGATTCGATGGCTGAACTCTAAGACATGCAGAAGGAATATGAAGACGTAAGGTCAGATACCTGCTTTTTATGCTCAGAATCTTCCCACCTTTGCAACTTCTGCTGTCTTTAAGGCGAAGCCTAAAACCACCCAGAAATTAAACTAGCGACTGGTTGTGCACTGTGTGCGACGATGTCCATCCTAAATGGTGTCATGAGCTCCACCTTCGTATGAAGCGACGCATTCGTCTGCTCAGCGCCTAGGGGCCGCTCCTACAGAGCGCAATAGTCCTCAATGTGAGGAAGTCGGTGCGCATAGTTCTCCAGGCACTTTAGGTCTTCCGCCCAGCGGTATACGACCTCAGCATAATGCTCAACGGAGTTCCGATCACGACAAAATTTGTCCTCGAATACTCGAAGAGCATCGCGGGACGCCAAACGGCGATCGACCCAGTCGTCATCGTCCACCGCCGACTTTTCTCGTCGAGACTGGTGGTGTCCACTATCACGATGAACGCCTTATGCGTTGACGTCGTCGCCAGGGTCAAACCCAGTTTCTTGTGAAGTGGCGTAGATCACCCGACTTTGAAACTCGTGGGAGTTTGGAGTGCCACTTCGGCATGCCCAGACGTCTTGAACACTTATAATCAGAAGGATCATGACTTTTCGCGACGTCGTACGCCCCTCGCTTCTCGACAAATACCAGGGAAGCAAAATGAACATGATCCAAGCTCAAATTGTGGCTCTGGGCTACTGTGGTCGTAGACTCACTCGTGTGGGAAACCACAGATTTCGCGGGAGCGTGATGGATGATTCCATGTGTTGAGGGGCTACAACACGCAGGAAGCACGCGTTGCGCCTTAGGTTTGGCAAACTCAAATCAAAAATGGGGTTCCACATGCGCGTCCGCTTCCTTGTGGCTCAACTATAAGCTGTACCGCTTAAACTTTCTGGTGCCGCTGCATCCATAGCACAAAGAGCTTCTCGCCATCTGCGGCGCTTTCGCCAGGAGTGGACACCATAACTAATCGTTCGCATTGCGGGTACAAGACTTCCTCCTCTTTGAGCACGAAGTCGAGTGTGGTACAAATACACCGGGATTTCTTGAGGAACCAAGAGGCGAGCTCAGAGCGTTTTTTTCGTCAAGCGCAGCCTTTGTAGTGACCAGGGGGCCGGTCACATAGACGTACAACGATTGAGTGATCACGCCCTTCGCTTTCGTAGCGGAATTCGCGGAACGTAAGCCGTATTTCACACGAGGGTCAAGGACTGACTGTGGTTCGCGCACATAGGAGCTGCTGCTTCTGTGCCACATCAAAGTCGTTGGTAATGACACCACCTTCCTTGGAAGTCGAATGGTCTAGAATCAGACACGGCGCGTTCGCAAGGGTCAATCAATGCGAACGTCGCGCCGCTACGGCACCTAGCACTCTATCTCGTAGTCGACTTCCTCCAAATCCTCGGCGATGTGATCCATCGCCCGTGGCAGGCGCAGTGCGCGTTTGAAGTAGATATTGCGTCTGCGTCCTTGGTTGTGTGACCCTAACACTGGCAATGCGCTGCGCGGTACTAGGTTCCCGAGACCTTGGGCTGCGCATTCCTTGAAGTCGCGCACGTGCTGTCCGTAGTTGCATCCAAGAGAGCTGTTTACATTTCAACCTAGCAGACAGTAACAGCTCACAGCCAAATTGTTCTTATGTGGTGAGATACTTTAGACTGCCAAAGCATATCATCTCAGATAGAGACCCAGAGTTTGTGTTAGCGTTCTGGAGAAGACTCATGGACAGGATGGGCGTCAAACTATCGATGACGGTGGTTCACCGAGCGCAAGCCAACGGACGCACGGGGAGACGGAATCGAACGCTGGAAGACTCCCTCCGTTGTCTCGTGTCGTATCACGACGACGATTGGAAGGAGTGGTTGGCAACCACAGCGTATGCGCACGCAACGCTGACATCGTCATCCACCGGGTTCAGTCCCTTAGAAGTGGATGCGGGTCGAACACAACGAAATCCGATGGGCATCTCGGAGAGTACAAACGAGCTGGCAAGCAGATTCACAACAAAGAGGCAATATGTCATCCAATTGGCGCAGCGACCGCTCCAAGCAGCTCAGGGGTAGTAAAAACGATGCTCTGATCGCAAACGACGCAACGAGAGCTTCTACGTTGGAGAATGGATACTGCTCAACTCGAATAACATCATGTGCGAGATCAAAACAACAGCAGCAAGAAACTTGTAGCCAGATACATTGGACCGTTCAAGATTCTCGAGAAGCTGTCGGACCTCGTGTACCGATTGAAATTGCCAGAATCCATGCGATTCATGAACGGAGTGCTCAACGTTGAGCAACTGAAGAAGTGTCAAGACAACCCAAGCGCATTCGAAGGAAGACCGCAGCAAAGCAGCAAAGCAGCAAAGAGCACACCTGTTGTGGTGCAGGAAAACGAACCTACGTACGTCATCGAAGCCCTACGGAAGATGAAGACAGTCAAAGGGAGATGGCAGTTTCTAGTGATATGGGCAGGCTATCCAGAAGACGAGAACACGTGGGGAAGCGAGCAAAACATTCCACATGTGTCCCATTGGAAGTCGTTGTTGAAGAACTTGGAGGCAAGGACTCTACTACTAAGGCGAGAGAATGTAACAAATTAACCGTGTGCTGGTTAACGAGTATCAGTTATCCAAGGAGGTTCTAGAATATTCGAGAAAAATAAGATTACTGAAACCAAGAAGGAGACATTCCAGAAAACACTTATTGGATAGATACAAATGCATGTTAGCCAATAGTATTACATATTACGTACACGTAGCATTAGAACGGGATGTAAGTTCTCTGAGCCAGGATTTTAACGCTAAACATAGATCACTTTTGAACTTGCCGCCTAGTGCTCAGGTCACACATTGTTTGTAAGCGCGATGGCACTTTTGATTGCCCTTGACGATCAAAGACGCTCCGGCTTGTTCATGACCGAGGTCTTTAAGCATAACTCGCATCCATAAGACTTTCTGCGTATACATATTAAGTGCCATGCGTTCGGCTTCTGGTGAGTTCAAAGCCACTGTACGTTGATACTTTGACTTGAACACCACTAAAGCATGTCCAATCATTGCCATGATCCCCAACACACAGCGTCGGTCGTCGAAGCTACTGCTCCAGTCGGCATCTGTGTATGTCACAGTGTTTAAGTCACCTATGCTGCCCTTCTTGACAAGTCTATGCTCCTGCATCGTCTTGAGATATACGAATGACAGCTGTCGACCCAGATTGTCAAGGAAGCGAGATAGTTGATTAACAACGTATGCAACGTCAGGACGAGCGCATGTCGTAGTGTAGAGAAGGCATCCGATAATTAAGCTGTATGGCTTCGAGCGCATCTCATCCTGCCCAACATCGGTCGTCGAAGACTACAGCTTCGACAGCTTTAATCCTAACTCGCACGGATTCTTGACTGCCTTGGCGTTTTGCTGGTTAAACCACTCCACTACGTCGTTGATTTAACGAGTCTGTTTGATCATGAGAGCCTTCTTTGCCCAATCATGATTTATTTCCATCCCCAATATGAACTTGGCCTCACCAAGCTCTTTCATCGTAAATATTTTCTTGAGTGCTGTCTTGACTTCTTGGATCTCTTTGTTTGTTTTCGCAGCATTGATCATGTCATCAACATAGAGACATACGTACACCAAGCTCGACATCTTTTTCAACGTATACGCATTGGTCAACTCCACAGCTTTTGCATCAGAACTGCAAAATTATCGGATGAATTGTCTTGGATCACTCGCAGGCTGCTAGCTTTAGGTCGTATATTGCCTTATCGGGTCGGCAGATGCAGTTCACGACGTTGGTGACACCGTGCGGCACTTCCATGTACACGCATTCGGCCAGATCACTGTTAAGAAACTCAGTGTCGGCATCTTACCGTCCTGTTACATAGCCCTCAGTCACGACAAGTGCCATCACGATCCGAATTGAATTTTTTTTGGCCACCGGCTAGTCAATTTCGAAGAATCTATGCCAAATGTTTTTAAGCCTTTTGCTACAAGCAAAGCTTTATACTTTACGACTTGCCCGCTCTCATTTCGCTTCTTTCCAAAGGCCCACCGACAACCAATTGGACGCATATCGGTTTTTCTTGATACCAAGGTCCGTATTTATTGAGCTCGTGCGCTTTAAGTTCAGTCTTCATGGCTTCTATTCATTTTGGCGCATCTTGACTTGTCACGGCCTGCTGGTACGAGGTTGGGGCATCATTCGCATTTCCGACGTTCGCGGCATAGGCTAACACTGCATTAGCGATCAGATCGTCTTCATCAATGCGAGGTCTTTTTGGCGATGGGGTCAGAAGTGGTCGTCATTGTCAGGATCACTGTTATCGTTTTCATTAATAACTTCAATATCAGTCGAGGTGGAGCCTGTCAAGCTGTGATTCGTACTGCTGTTGCCCAAAAGCATGATCGGATTGCGATGCCCCCGATCTACTTGCGGATGGTACACCTTATTTTCGATCATTGCCGGTCCTCTCACTCTACGGAATGTCGTAAGCTCTTGACCGGTAAATGGTAGATCGTTATCAGCATCACGATGTCTTCTTGTGCATTTAACGGGCAACATCGTTTCGTCGACCATGGGTGAAGTTTGATGATGGTGAGGCTGTGGGTCGTCACTGTCCAAGTAAATCTCGTCATCGCTCTTGACATTGATATCAATCGGACCGTACGTCCTCCCACTGTCGTTTATGTCATTTATTTCACGCTCTTCAAGTTTAAGAGACCTTACCACTTCATTTTTCTGTGACTAAAATTCAAATACCTTGTAGTCCTTGGTTACCCCAAGAACAAGCATCGAAAGCTCTTCGCTTTAATTTTTGTTCACTTTGCATCATCTCTATGCCCATAACCGTGGGATCCGGACAAGCGCAGGTGGTATAAGTGTGGCTTGATCTTGAAACTTATCTCGTACGGCGTTATGTCCAAGTGAGCACTATTGGTGTCTCGTTGATCACATAGATTGCCGTGTTGACTGCCTCCGCCCACCATTCGGCTGATGCCCCTATATAATGCTTCTTGACCATTCCATAGTGGTGCGATTTATCTTTTCAGCTACTACGTTTTGCTGCGGATTGTGAGGCACAAGCTTTCTATGTATAATGACTCCAGGCTGACAAATATGATCCAGCGTTTTATTCGCAAACTTTAAGTCATTGTCCGAGCGCAAACACTTAATGCGATTCGCCATTGATTTTTGTATTTATCTTGAAAACTTGAACATTTGCACAACATCAATCTTTTTCTTTAGGAAGTACACGACAGTATATCTTGAATAATCGTCCACGAAGCTAAACATGTACTTTGTATCTCTTTTAATTGCGTTTTCATTGTCTCATCACGTCCGTGTGGTCCAATTCAAGAAAACGCAATATTGTGGACATCGATCGAGAAGAAAATGATTTACTGTCTGCTTGCCTCTCACATATCCACCGCATAACGTCTTGGTCTGCTGCTTCTTTGCTGGTATACCTATTGTTGCCTTTTGTGTTCTCGTTAGTGCTTCTGAATATGGATGACCTAACCGAGCGTGCCATAACTCCCACTGGCTTCCAACCTTTGCGTAATCCACCTAATGAGCACTTTGTTGTTGATATTCCATCATGTAGGCTTTGCCAAGCTCCTGAGTTCTACAAGATAGGGAACAATGTTCCTTGAAGCTTAGTTTTACATAGTCGTCGATCTAGTCTTGATGTGTATTACCTCCATCATTAGAATTGGTTTGTGATCAACATCTTTCAGGCGTTCTAACTACACGCAGCTTCTTCCCATCCGCAATTGTCACTTCAATGTTCTCATTAACGACAGCATATTCGCTTAAGTCTTCATGATGCGGGATCATGTGTGAAGTCGCTCCGCTGTCGAGTAACCTGTGGGTAGATGCTCTTCAATTGCGAACATCTCGTCTTCATCATTTACATTACGGTTATCCGGACAGTCCCACTTCAATCAACCAATTTGACTGCACCCGAAACACTTGCCCTTGAGCCCATGACCTCTCTTCCCGCCTTTGTTCTTGTGAACGTTGTATCCAGTACTTTTTGTGAGCTTCCCTATAATTTTTGAGACGTATGAAGCGGCTTTCATCGCACGTTCTGTGCTTCCTTCTTGTCCTTGACGCTCGAGCGCTTTCAGTAGTTTCTTCTTTTCCTCATTAAGCAGCCTCTCGAGCTTTCAATAATCGATGATATTAACTCGTACTTAGCCGGCAGGTTGCTTATTGAAATCACTAGCTGCCGAGCAACATCAAGTGGCCCCCCAAGTGCCTGTAGCTCCACGATAAGCTCTTCGAAATACTGTGTAAATTGCATTGGATGAATCGACCACTGGTGTTTTATACAAAACGTGTCACGTCTGGTTAAATTCTCGAAGTGTGTCTGTCACACTTAGGAGTATTCCCTATTTTAATATTTGATGAGATTTCAGATCGGAGCGAGCTAATTGTGTTAGTTATCCTGGAGAATCTCGGATTACCTCTTGCTCATAGCACGCGAACCCTTCTTGTGTGCGTTTGTAAACACGGACTCCAAGTGCAGCGGGGCTGCCGTAGCATAGCGCTTGAGGAAGCGTAACTTAGGTCACAGACCTTTTGTTCTGTTCTTAGAACAAGTACGAGTTAGCGGATCGCAATCCGCTTACTCCAAAAGTAATTATTGC